GATTTATGAAATAGTTCCTGCAATGTAGAAATAGTTACATTGGCGAGACATCAAGGAATCTAAAAGCCCGCATCTATGAACATAATATAGATCTTCCTTTGGACAACCCCTTAAACTCGCTCAAAATACATGGGAAGAAAACTGACCATAACTTTATTTGTTTTTTGCTTTTTATAAACAATTAAAAAAGAACATAATTCTTTACGTAGGAAATAATTCGATGGGATTGTTATAAATATTTTATCATCTATAAAGAGACGTCAAACACGCCATCAACTTTTATAAAATCAGTACTTAAAGAATCTAAGATATGTTTACATAATACTATCACCACTACAACCAGTGTTACGTAAGAACGTCCCCAAATCAACATGTGGACAACTACCATACATAAATAAGAATGCCTACCGGAGACACACACATACACAAACACTCAAAATAACACACACATACACAAACACTCAAAATAACACACACATACACAAACACTCAAAATAACACACACATACACAAACACTCAAAATAACACACACACTATCATCCGAATCCCGTATAGACAAACTAGAATCATGATACACTTACACACATAAATTTTATACACGAACGTTGCTTGAAAAATGCACGTGGTGTTTGCTGAAACAATGAAAAGCAAACAAAAAAAATTTTAAATCCATTTTTTTCTCTTTCTGCATAACTCATTCTCTGGTTAAGCTTTAATAAAGGCGAAGCATGTTAGATTTATAATCGTTTACTTATCCTATTTCTCTCTCTCTCTCTCTCTCACTCACTCACAGATAATTAAAAAGGTACACTCACACGTGAGAGCGCAAAATGCCATATTAAAGATTTAAACTATGAAAGAGTGTGAGATGAATTATAATATTGAGTAAATTCATTTTTAATCTAGTAACCATCAGAATCTGTGACCATGGTATATTCGGGAGTTTATTGTTAATACTAGCTGCGTGAAGTATAGATATATTGTGTTGCTTATTTTTATACTAGTCCTTTCCAGTTATCTAACCAGTTGTCTAATTTAAATCACCATTACAAGGGAATGCCGATTTTATCGCGGTTACAATAAATGTGTCTTTGTAATTTAGCCCTGAAGATGATCTTGGAAAAAATCGAAAGTACTTGGTTTAAAAATTAAAAAAAAAAAGCTACGGTGCCTTCCTTAATGAATTTCATCTTAACATCAAGAAACTGGTTAGACAACTGGAAAGGATCAATATAAAAATAAGTAGACACAGTATGTCTATATTACACGCACACACACACACACACACACACACACACATGTGTATATGTTTCATTGAATAATATACTGTTTATAATAATAATATAGACCTGCAGTTTCTCCGATGATCGCAAAAGCGTGAAACCCAGGGTCACAAATTCATATCCATACAACTTATTATGTTAGCTCTATCACTGATATTGGGCGTTTTCCACTAAGTACCTCACACATTATATATATATATATATATATATATATAAACTGGGCATTGATCTCAGTACCCAGCAGCTGGGTGTTTATCTCAATGTCCACTTTTATATATACGCTCTATCCCTGATAGTTTTTTTTTTTTTTTTTTAACCCATATATATAGCATACCTTAAAACTATATTCTTATCATACATGTAACTGTAATAATTTCATATCCTTATTTTGTGATAAATGTATTTTGTTAACAGTCATTTTTCTCGTTTGATTCTTGAAGGTCTTCTTGAATATTCGGATTATGGAATCGGAAATGCGGGAAATGTCAAATTTAAATTCACTGTTGCCGATCCACAAGGAAACGAACTTTTAAATCAATATTTCTATATCATCCTCCTTGGTAAGTTTACTTTATATTATATATCTATCTATCTATCTATCTATCTATCTACACAAACGTTATATGTTATGTCGACGTGAACAGATTCAATCTGACAAGAAGAATAATTTTAGTTAATTTTATCGCGGCCATGTTTTTTATAACAGGAAGACAACAAGAACCAACATTAAAATGAAACAATTATGGCAATACAATGTAATAAATGTTATGCAAAGGTTACTAAAATCTACAATAACCGCTATTTTTTGCCGATCGCATAAGTTTTTTTCTCGTTTTTAATTAAAAAAGAAACAGCTTGTTTTTTCCTCGTATATCTGAATTTCCGGCATCACTCTTCTTGAATTTTTGTATTTTTAAGTAAAACTCAAGGCAGATTAGGTTTCAGACGCCAGGCTTTAGATTCAGGATTATCCCACGGGACGATAGTCAAGTGGATTAAATCATTAATTCGCGAATTTGGTGACATAGTTATTGTTACTTTAATCCCTGGATTGACTCAAGCTCAGCGATAATTGAGCAATGCTTAATAAAAATAAGTCGAGGTATCCCTAGATATGGACAGCGGAACAAGAAAATCTACCTCCATAAATTAAAAAAGGGTTAAGTTCGAAATTCCCTGGGTGTTACACGGATCGACAAGAATCTGAAGAAGGTCGGGGGGCATAATAATATCAACAATGATGAGAAAGTTTTTTCGAATGTAAAAAAAAAAAAAATGCAAATAACTCCTCACGGAAATTTAAACAGAAACTCAAGAATTGTTTACACCTGCACTTGATCGCGGATAAATAGGAAAAAGATCCGAAGCAATACGGCTTGTTCTGTGCTTACACTCATTTTGTTGATCACATATCGGCAGTAACCGAATTTTTAAGCCACAAGCATTTGACTGGAAGAAGCTGCACTCTGTCAACTAACCTGGTGTGAGTTGCAACGCAACAACTACGTTTAGGAAGGAAGTCTTCTATCAACACTGGAAAGATAACAGCTACAGGACTTGAGGAAACTATTTTCCTGAAAAGTTAATTTAAGGGAAAGATTTTATGAATTTTAACCGGCAGTAATACTGCTAATCGGTCAATGAATGCCGAATGTTTCCGTATAAGGAAACGGCTAATATTAATATACCATTAGCAACCTTAGCGTACGGCTTTTGTTTTTAAATTGAATTTCATTTGAGAACTTTCACTTTTTTACATAAAGAAATCATTTTATGGTTTATTTGTGTAATAATTCCCGCCAGGAAATAATAGTTCTGAATCGAATTTAATGTCCATCAGTAACTTTGATCTAAAATGAGTTGATCTGTAGTAATTCCAGTATATACTGGATTCGTCCTAAGAGATACTCAAATTTTATATTCAGTGTCAACTTAGTAAAAAAAAAAAAAAAAAAAAAAAAGTTGATCAAGTCGGTAACCTCAAAGTTGCCAAGTGCAGAATCGAGCCTCAAATGCCGTCGGTGAGTACACCAACATAAAAACAGCTGAAAAAAAATGTACGTACACTTGAAAATCCGAAAACATGAAGTTGTATAAACCCCTGACCTATATGTGAGAGAGATAATCTCTCACATCCTCGCAAGAAGATCGAACGTTCGAAGAAAGACCCGAAACTGCATATCCTCGATTCGATCGACGTTAATTTGACGGAGTCTAGAAGTGGATGAACAAGTATTTCATGTATTAAATAGTTTAGTATTCTGATAAGAATCCTAATAAGGCATTGCATATCTGAACTTTCAGCATCATGATCCTTGTATTTTGCGGCCATTAACTCTCCGTTAGAGAATGTTTGCAGCATTTATACTGCAGTGTTTTCAAATACCTTCAGTTAAAATATTATAGATATTATATTATATTATATTATATTATATTATAGATATTATATTATATTATATTATATTATATTATAGATATTATATTATATTATATTATAGATATTATATTATATTATATTATATTATATTATAGATATTATATTATATTATATTATAGATATTATATTATATTATTATATTATATTATAGATATTATATTATATTATATTATAGATATTATATTATATTATATTATATTATATTATAGATATTATATTATATTATATTATAGATATTATATTATATTATATTATAGATATTATATTATATTATATTATAGATATTATATTATATTATATTATATTATATTATATTATATTATATTATATTATAGATATTATATTATATTATATTATATTATAGATATTATATTATATTATATTATAGATATTATATTATATTATATTATAGATATTATATTATATTATATTTATTATAGATATTATATTATATTATATTATAGATATTATATTATATTATATTATATATATTATATTATATTATATTATATAGATATTATATTATATTATTTATATTATATTATTATTATTATATTATATTATTATATTATATTATATTATATTATATTATATTATATTATATTATATTATATTATAGATATTATATTATATTATATTATAGATATTATTATTTATATTATATTATATTATAGATATTATATTATATTATATTATAGATATTATATTATATTATATTATATTATAGATATTATATTATATTATATTATAGATATTATATTATATTATATTATAGATATTATATTATTATTTATATTATATTATAGATATTATATTATATTATATTATAGATATTATATTATATTATATTATATTATAGATATTATATTATATTATATTATAGATATTATATTATATTATTTATATTATATTATAGATATTATATTATATTATATTATAGATATTATATTATATTATATTATATTATATTATAGATATTATATTATATTATATTATAGATATTATATTATATTATATTATAGATATTATATTATATTATTTATATTATATTATAGATATTATATTATATTATATTATAGATATTATATTATATTATATTATATTATATTATAGATATTATATTATATTATATTATAGATATTATATTATATTATATTATATTATATTATAGATATTATATTATATTATATTATAGATATTATATTATTATATTATATTATATTATAGATATTATATTATATTATATTATAGATATTATATTATATTATATTATATTATATTATAGATATTATATTATATTATATTATAGATATTATATTATATTATATTATTATATAGATATTATATTATATTATATTATAGATATTATATTATATTATATTATATTATATTATAGATATTATATTATATTATATTATAGATATTATATTATATTATATTATATTATATATATTATATTATATTATATTATAGATATTATATTATATTATATTATAGATATTATAGATATTATATTATATTATATTATATTATATTATATTATAGATATTATATTATATTATAGATATTATATTATATTATAGATATTATATTATATTATATTATAGATATTATATTATATTATATATATTATATTATAGATATTATATTATATTATATTATAGATATTATATTATATTATATTATATTATAGATATTATATTATATTATATTATAGATATTATATTATATTATATTATATTATAGATATTATATTATATTATATTATAGATATTATATTATATTATATTATATTATAGATATTATATTATATTATAGATATTATATTATATTATATTATATTATAGATATTATATTATATTATATTATATTATATTATATTATATTATAGATATTATATTATATTATAGATATTATATTATATTATATTATATTATATTATATTATAGATATTATATTATATTATATTATATTATATTATAGATATTATATTATATTATATTATATTATATTATAGATATTATATTATATTATATTATATTATATTATATTATATTATAGATATTATATTATATTATATTATATTATATTATATTATATTATATTATATTATATTATATATTATATTATATTATATTATATTATATTATATTATAGATATTATATTATATTATATTATATATTATATTATATTATATTATATTATATTATATTTATATTATATTATATTATAGATATTATATTATATTATATTATATTATAGATATTATATTATATTATATTATATTATAGATATTATATTATATTATATTATATTATATTATATTATAGATATTATATTATATTATATTATATTATATTATATTATAGATATATTATATTATATTATATTATATTATAGATATTATAGATATTATAAAATATTATAGATATATCATTTGGTTCTTTTGCTATATATTGTCTTGAATGTTCTTTTCTAGATTTTATAGCATAAAATGAAAACAAAGAAATGATTTTATTTTGATAATCTAATCAAGACATATCAATTTCGGAATACAAAAATAGGTTTAAGTAAACAAATAAAACTGCTTGTAATACACACAAACATTATGGTAATTTACTAAGCATAGCTTAGATATGACACAAGGCCGGAAGTATGGAGCACTTAGGGAGAATTGAACTCGCTACTCAGTCGCAATTGATCTAGCGAGATATGCTTGTTAACCATTACGCCACGTCAAAGTGCCCGATTCATATAAATACTATGACTAAAACCAAAAACTCCTTATAGTTAATTGACTGAAGTATTCAGAAATCTAGTTGACTAATTATGAAAATTTGACTTGTCACTTATTAAACTTCAAGGAAAACATTTCGTGTGATTTATTTACATTACTCGGACTATTGTTCTCATCTTTGTCGCCATATTTAACACAACGTTTCGGCCGTTGTACGCTCCGGCCTTCTTCAGGTGGTTGGAATGTCGAACTGAACCCTTTATTTCGCTCACTGGGGTAGACTGTTCTAGTTCCACGTGCCATGTTTGATGGATGTCAGTTATCAGTTATCTCCTGTTAATTTCCCTCTGAAAGTTCTCCACTGCCTTAACCGGGTATTGAACTCACACTCTTTGGGTCCTGTCACTGGATCTAACCAACGCCTTTATCCACTGTGCCATGTGTCCTTGAGGAACGGCTTTATCCACTGTGCCATGTAAAACTAGAACAGTCTACCCCAGTGAGCGAAATAAAGGGTTCAGTTCGACATTCCAACCACCTGAAGAAAGCCGGAGTGTATAACGGCCGAAACGTTGTGATAAATATGGCGACAAAGATGAGGACAATAGGCCGAATAATGTAAATAATGTACATAATACCTCATCTCAGAAACATCGACAGATTTCGTTTGGTGTTCAAATGACCCACAGTACTAACGGATGGTTAAGTAAAACTGAAACTACAGATAGTGAAGCCGCGGATAAAAATGAACCTATGTATTGACAACTTTCTCTTGATAAAGATTTTCTAAATGACGCTATTATTTTAAACAAAACCTCATAGAATTTTCAGTGCAATTTGGAACGGTCAAATCTAGCATTAATGTCTCCTGTTTTTTTTTCTTTTTTTTTCTTTTTGTTCTCTTGCAGAAGACCGATCTCCTCCAATCGTTGATAGAAATGAAGAATTAATTCTTCTTGAAGGAAGATCGGCGTTCATCACCGAAAAGTTTTTGTCGGCGTCTGATGATAATGTCAACAACAATCTTTTGAATTATACTGTAATTGAGAAACCAAAAGTTGGACATTTGGAATTTACTTCTGAGCCAGGTGAGTTCACGTTATAAATCTTTATAAGTATTCTTTTCTTGCTATTAATGAAATTCCAACAAATTCAGAATCTTACATCTACTACAATTAGAAGAAAGTGTTAAAAAAAGGTCTGGAGTAAAAATTGGATACTGAAAAATGATTAGATTTGAATAACGTCTGCTGATCGAATTTCGTAGTTTGATCAGTTTTAGTGATATTTTAAACTGAATTTAAAACAAAAAATAAAAATATATTAAAATTTTTTGTGTTACTTTATTTATATTGGTTTATAATTTATATTGGGTTTACCCAATATGAATTTTAAAATTTTAAAATCAGTCATTTTTTCCAGTTATTTTAAAATATGAAATTTTAACTGTTCCTTCCTCATCCGGGCACAAATTCTAATGCTGGATGTCCAAGCACTAGATGAAGGGCAGATTTTTAATCCCGAGATCATCCTGATTCCCAAAAAGTTATATGTCCATGTAGAGCAAGTGTGGTCCGAGTTCAAGGGCTTTCAGACGGACAGGCAGAATTCACCGTTTATTTATTTAGAAGCTAATTTATTTGCTGTAGTTGAAGATAAATTGTGTTTAAACTGCCAGTTACCATGATTTTTCTTTGACAAGCAACTCGTCTATAAGCAACTTTGTGACACAATGCGTCCTCGCTCGATTGGCACAGGACACAGTCAAGTAGGCTGTCAAGGATTTAATCTGGGCCTAAAGCGCCGTAGCTTTGTGACGGCGTCGTCAGTAAAATCTAGATGCGAGATCTCCAAAGCCACGGGCCTCAAGAAGAGAAAACAAAAACTTTCGAGAGCAAGTGTCATTTGGTCAGACAGTAAAGAATTCAGGTTGTTCAGCTGCATTCTAGAATGACCCATCACAGTTTACATCACAGAGAAAGCCGACGAGTGTGGCAGTCGCAGTCAGGTATGTAGAAAGGAGTAATGAAAATAATTGTCATAGTCTCGGAGATTAGCAAGCTGGCAGTGAGAACAGCAAAAATGTCCCGGGTGTCATCTACCTACCCCCAGACTAGACTCTCAAGGGGATGCCTCCCCAATCATTATACTTTTAACCTCTCTATGTCTGGGGGGGGTACCTTTATTTATCCTAAATATTCTTATGATATGCATTTCTTACCTCCCCCTTTATGCCCTTACAACAAACTCATTCAGTAACCCTCTACCTGAAGTGGCTCTTGTGCCTTATATTACAGTAGTATTTTTAAAAATCGCGTATTTAAATATACGTTTATTAAAAAACCCTAATAACTTTAACACCTCGTTTTCACCGTTTCCTTCGAAGTAGCCCTTTCTGCCGTAACATCTAGATATTTGAACAGTAAAACGACGAAACCTGCACTCTAAATGCTGTAAATGAAAGAAGGCGATTTCATTTACAGTATTTAGGGTGTAGGTCTCGTCTTGTTACTGTTCAAATAGCTAGATGTAACCATAAGTTCTATTTTAATAGTTTCTTCTCTCGCACCTCTTGCCTGTGGAACCCTCTTACGATTTCTTGCTTCCCTGTCATCTACAATGTTCAAAAACTTAAATGCAACATCAATCGCAAGCTTTTTGTCTTCCTGAGTCCTGTTCTTTTATTGTCCTTTCTCCTTACTAAAGTTTTTCATTCTCTTTCATTCCCAGTACCCCTTTGCGTCTTAGTGGGATTATCGCCTTGGTGGTGGGGATAAAAAGTGAGTTAGTATTTTTAATGTGTCAATGCTTTCCAGTTCTTTCCCTGGTAATGATTTTTACCAAATATAAATGCCGCCTGGAATAGCCAGGCAGGCGGGAATTTTTCAACTTATTAAATAAGCGTGTCGGTTTAAATAAACGTTCTGCCGGGAAAGCTTCTATGTTTAATAAACCTGGAAAAAAATAGATGTGGAGAAAAGTATTTGAAACACGCGTGCCGTACCAAATGAGTACTGTGCCGATGTTTAGGAAATTGAATGAAATAATTTAATCAGTTTGTGTAGAATACTAATAATATTTAACGTGGGCTTGGAAACATGTGAAAAACATGGCTGAAGTTGTTTATGCCTCCAAGTTGCTGCGGTTGGTGGATAACGCTATAAACAGGGTGCGGCCTTTTATTTCCTATGTCAGATTGGAAGTTGCCGTCTTAATGCTCCCGATAGGTCTGAAAAAGAAATGAAAAGGTTAATATTTGGCGCACACTGTGTAATATTACGTTAGATCAGTGTCTCTCAACCTTTTTAAGCAACGGCACACCTAGGAGCAAATGAAAATATCACGGCTCACTTAGTAATTTTTTAGGGGTATACATTTAAATGTTATGAAAAAAAAACAAAACAATGTATTTAAAAATAAATACACACAAATATGAACTTACTTTATTTCAATGTTTCTATTCAACTATTTATGCGGCTTGTTTAGTTTGATACCTTTTTTTTTTTTTTTTTTTTTTTTTTTTTTTTTTTATTCAATTTTTCGCGGCACACTTGACCCTCCCTTTGAGCCCTGCGTTCCTGCACAATTTTAACCCTTCTTCCTGAGCTTCTGGGCCCAAAATTCGCGAATAATTGGTATGTAATGTTTCATGGTAGATATAAAAAAAATAGTTACAAGTGTTTACTCACCGTTCAACCGGTAGCTGGGCATTGTCATTTTTCTCTATCGCTGTTCAACCGGTGGCTGGGCATTACGTGATTTTTCTCTACCACCGGTAAAAGCGGCCTCAGAGATCAAAGGATTAAGAGGATCACGTGGCATACGACGGTTGAGAATAACTGCGTTAGATCGTCTTCCATTTACTGTACTGTACTGATGCGGCATTCACCCTGGGCGGATTGAGCCGGCTTCTTCCTGTTATGAGAAGAAGATTCTTGGGATAAATTACAGAAGTAGGGTACCCGGGATAACGTTCTTGCTTGCCGCGGGGTTCCCACAGACGCAGAGACAGGAACGAACAGAAGCCGCCGGTTACCGATGCAGACGCTCCTTGGATTTTCACCAGAGCCCTTGTTAGCCGGCGTGTGTGTCAGACCTGTCCGCCTTGGGTGGCCCTACCAGGAACGAAGTTCCGGGCGGCATAGCTCTGACACTACCGTTTACACCCCCCACCGACTGTGAGGTAAGGGTTGGACTTTGGGGGCTTACAGTACCAGGTGTTCCCAAGCGGTCCCCCATCTAAGTACTGACCTGGCTCTACGCTGCTTAACTTCGGTGATCGTACGAGAACCGGTGTTTCAGCGTGATTTGACCGTAAACTTACGGTCTTCCATTTATGATCCCCTGAAGGTGTTTTCATCTATCTCGCATGCCCTGTATTGTGTGTGTGTCTCTCTCTCTATGTGAAAGGTTGATGCCGAATTATAATAGTGCGTTAAAAATAGCTCCCACAACACGACATTAATTGCAATGATGTCTTCATCTAGCTAATGTCATACCTTTTATGTGGGAAGTATTTCTGCCGCACTTTGTATAAAACTGACGAAAGAATTCAGATACTTTGGCATCAAAGTAAGATAATCTGTTTGAATAAAATTCATCCGATTCGTCTCTTAGAAGGCTACTGAAGAGATATATACGGGATACACCCTCCCCACCGGTCAGGATCAGAGATTTATTCCCTGTTTCTTGTCTAGGATTGGGTCTCCGTTTCTGTCTAAAGTCCTTTCATTCTATTTTACGCCTCGTAACCTCTTTTGACTTAGTGGCATTATCACCTTGCTTGAGGTGAATTGACTTAAAAAAGATACGAACCTTTTAAAACTAACACATTGGTTTGTGAGACAAACTTGCTGAAAAGGAAACTTTTAATAGGGCTACAAATAATTCATATTCTAAATTCTGCAACATTTGAATAGTTTCTATTGCTTTAAAATGTCTGTAAATAATTTGAAAGCTGTTGTGTAATGGTAACGCAATTCTAACAATTATTGTGATCATTATTTTAAGGAGTTCCAATTTTCACCTTCACGCAGTCCGACTTGACCGCCAACAAAGTGAAATATGTTCATACAAGTCCAGAAGAAGTGAATTCAGATAGCTTCCTTTTCTCCATATCAGATGGACAAAATAAGGTTAGTTGCAAGACGTTTTATTACTTGTTCTTATTTATTTCTGAAAAATGGCAAGTTCTGAATTCCTTGATACAAACCTTGTAATCTCTGGCGATACTTTTTTCATATCCAAAATCGCATTGCTATTTATGAGTTTATGTATAAACTGTCTTTGAGATTTCGAGATGAAGTGTTTTTTGTCTTCTGTTTCATTATTGATTACTTTCTAGATTTTTTTTTATATTTCTTTTTATCACAGCATTTAAATAAACTTTCTGGGAATTCTGTAAACAGTAATTGTTGGAGGCCATTATTTTATGCATGGATAGATCCGAAGACGAGTGAACCGTTGGCAAATGGAGAATGAGCGAGAAAGAGATAATCATTCATACGCGAAGTAAATCAGTTAAATATACATACATAAAAATTAATTCTGGTGAATTTCCACGGAGGAGCGAATATATTTTTAAAAATAAAGTTGAGTCAAGGTAAAATGGTGAGACCTAGTTAACAATCAAGTGGCACATTTAAATTAATATAGTCGAGACAATAGAGAAAAAAAATTCAGTATCTCTATATTTCTGAGATGAAGTATTATGTACACTATTTACATTATTCGGACTATTGTCCGCATCTTTGTCACCATATTTATTACAACGTTTCGGCCGTTATAACTTTGGTGATGGTAAGGGGACCGATCCGCCCTTCTTCAGGTGGTTGGAATGTCGAACTGAACCCTTTATTTCGCTAACTGGGGTAGACTATTCTAGTTCCACGTGTCATGTTTAATGGATGTCAGTTATCAGTTATCTCCTGTTAATTCCCCTCTCCATGTTCTCCGCCGCCTTAACCAGGTATTGAACTCACACTCTTTGGGTCTTGTCACTGGATCTAAGCAACGCGTTTATGGCACAGTGGATAAAGAACTTGGAGAGGGGAATTAACAGGAGATAACTGATAACTGACATCCATTAGTCATGACACGTGGAACTAGAACAGTCTACCCTAGTGAGCGAAATAAAGGGCTTTCTTTCGACATTCCAACCACCTGAAGAAGGCCGGAGCGTACAACGGCCGAAACATTGTAATAAATATGGCGACAAAGATGAGGACAATAGTCCGAATAATTTTAAAAACAAAACAAACAAAAAAAAAAAAAACTCATCCGAACAGTTGCCATGAAAATATTTTTAGAAAAGGCAGAGGGAAGCCGCATCACATTGGTGAGAAAGTGACTGAAGTCAAGATGCCAGGTCAGAATCGATTACATCACAGTCCATTCTTTGAATTTTGTAGAGAATCTTGAGACACATAACAGGCACACCAGATATGGTAACAGTATTCAATGAATGATAGATTCAGGGCAGGATCGCTTCTGACAAAAAAACTTCTGATTCGATGGAGTGGACCTAACATTTGATTCAGTATTGTCACTCCACTTCATGTCAGTGGAAAACATGAGTCCAAGATGAGAATGTTGCTTTCCTGGAATTTAGCATCAGCCATCCTTCTCTATGGCGATTAAATGTAAACAGTTTTGTTTTAGAGATTTTAACATTTACAAGTTTGTCAGGAATCTTGTCTCCGGCCCATCTTTGAGTAAATTTAATGACCATGATTTTTCAGGAAGCCTGTCTCCAGCCGACTTTTGAATTCATAAACAAAGTTTAGTTAGTGTTTTTAGCTAAGGTCCTTTGAAAGACTGACCACCCAACCTGTCTGATCCCTCTTTTCGGTTAGTGGAACACTAGTGGACGGAAAGGGGTCGTGGGTCCGTTAGCGAGTATTCATATAATGAATCGGACAGTGAGTGAAACGGCCCGGCAGTGAGCGTGAAGGGGTTTGTTTTTCGGAACCGGGACTTAGTGAGAAGTTAGTTTGCTTTCTCGTAGCGGAAGGAAAACATTGCCGATTAAATGAGAAATCTTATTTGTTTTTACTACTTCCCGACCCAACAAGGGTCTTGAAAAGCATTTGTCATTATTCCTTTGTTCCCGGCCATAATCGAGACAAATCTTTGGAACACAGCGAGCACCGATTTCAGCTTGTGCAGTGACGTGCAGAACTGAATTATAACATTAGTATTTACCTTTTCAGTAGGTTGAATATATGTAAATGGAGCAGCCAGTTATACCCGAGGATGCCAGTCTACTAAAGCGGCTAGATAATCCCCATTGTAGACGCCTGCTCAGACACATTTGTTTGTTTAACATACACAGAGCCCACCTGCATTTTTGCTGAATGGACCTTCGTTCTGGGAGAGAGTGCGTGATCAACAGTCTGAACAAAGTTAGCATACTCAACCCCCTCGGTCAGCGATGACAAGGGTTTTGTCTACCCAATTTCACTCACAAAGCTTGGTATGGTTTTCAGGCACTTTCTAAATGTGCCGCACGCTGGGTTCGCTTCCTCCAGTCACCTTCCTGACAAATCGACCATGGTGAGATTCGAACTATGGTCGACTCATGGTCAGAAAGCGAACGTTCTAACAACTCGGCCACTCGATTGAATATAACAAATATTTAATACACGACGATTCATGACTTTTTGTTAATAACGTCGATTGAAGTACATATTGAATCATTTATTTGAAATTACGTTATTCTAATAGATTAGTTTGTACATAAAGTGCTGAATCAAAATGTATGATTTGGTTCTATCAAGATAGATTATAGTAGAAATCTATTATAGAGTATCGATTGCTATTAAAAAATTCGACTCCTATTCATAGGATTAGCGAAAACTGTATTCCAGAAACTAAACGAAGCATTAAGACATAGGAAAAATGTCGTTAGAAACAAATAAAAATGTTGAACTGTGATGTAATATCTATTAATATCTATCCACTTGTATAACATTGAATGCTGGACAATTTCCCCAGAGACGAAAAGGCCTGAAGCAACAGACGAACGCTAAGAACGTTTATAATGAAAACATGTGACCAGCGAGGAAGTCTTAAGGAAAATAGAAAAAGGGAACCTTATATTTACAATCAGAAAGAGACAACTTCTGTGACACATAATGAGGAAAGAAGGCCTAGAAAATTTAACATTAACAAGGCATTCAAGGCAAGAGAATCAGGAAGAAAGAGCGTGTAAACTACCTAACCGGTTTTTGTGAATGGATGGCAAAACAGGGAGAAAAAGGGCTAGTAAAGTTAAGATACTTGGTGCAAGAAAATGCAGGAAGTTGTGGAGGGCAGTGATTTCCTAAATTAGGAAAAACTTGGGTCAAAAGTATAATTCTATTAAGTTGTATTATATGAATTGTCGGATGCATGAATATTCATGATTTGTTACTTCAATTAATCTTGACAACAAGTGTTTATTATAGCGTATCTTTACTTAATGTAAATCAGGTTATTCAAATGTTGTGTAATGCTGTACTGTATTTCGTACTGGATTCGTAAAATAATTGTCTTGTATCATTTGATAGTCTAAATCCAGGTATTCTACTATCATTTTAAGACTTCTCGATCTTTCATTATCCCAAAACCTATAAAATACTTTTTATCCAATGTAATCACGATGCGCCAATTACACTCATAGCTTAACGGTTAAGCACATTCAGATTGAATGTAAGAGCTATCAGTTTAAACGTAGTAAATGCCACATATACTAAAAATAAAGAATATTTAAAGATGTTGCCTCTGGCCAGACAATATAATTTAAAAAAAAAAAATAGAGGCGAAACAAGTCAGTTTATAAGACATTTTTCTTTTCGACTAGGTTGTTCAGAAATTCTCTATCATTATCAACCCAGTCGATGATTCTATCCCTGTGGTTATTAATAATGGCCTCCGTGTACAGCAAGGGACCAGGAAGCTGATAACTGAATTTGATTTGAAAGTCGTCGATAACGACACAAAGGTGAGTAATTTTTATGAAATCTTTTAATTTTGTGCAAGTTCTTTATAAACTATAACCTTAAAATAGTCATTAAAACCAGTATCGGAAGGCGTTTCTTACACACAAAGAAAATACTTCCGAACTGCTATGTAATACCTATCTTCCTATACGACAGTGAATGTTCTATTGCGTCACAATGGAACCCAACTGTTAGTAGAACATCCTAAGAAGGTCCTAAATGATTTTCTGAAACGTCTGATGTCTTATAACTAGCAGTAAAATGTGCGAAGTAAGATCCCTAAATCGGTCGTTCACTGACCAAGAAGGGGATAAAATAAATATAGATAAATGAAAACTTTCGTAAATAAGTGCCACTTGCCCGGAAGTTAGAAAATTCCGTTCGCAGGTTTATATAAACAGATTTAGAATTAGAGTTCCGATGCATGCTTGTTGGTAGGCTAGCTGTCAGAGAGAGTTCGGGACAATAGTTACAATGAGCGAGTTGCAAACAGCGCTCTGCGATGCAGAGGTGAACAGTGGTACAGTAGAGGGGAGACCCTGCTGGCGGAAGGGGAGAACCGTTAGTCTGTCGTGGCAGAATTTGTCCCAAGTGTCCATTACCTACCCACGTCTAGATTGTGCAAGTGAATCCCGGAATAAATAACTGAATATATAGAAAATAATTCCACCTGGGAAGAGTCTTCTCTGGCGCGTGACATCTGGCGCCCCCCCCTGTAAAGTCCGGAATGTCTGATTTTGAAAAGAAAAGAATCAGGGATAAAAAAAAAAGACAAAAATAAGACGCCAGAAAAGGAAAGATCGAGAGGGCTCAGGCTCCCAGCCTGGTTCAGCCCCCAGCATCCCATATCACAACTTCAACAGACTTTTCAGAGCGAAGATTCGGACTTATTAGTCCTCTCCAAAAGTGATTCGCAGTCAAGGTCATCTCCGTATGCGGAGGACGAACATAATATACAGAAACAGGCCTGTTGTATGTTTACACTGTAAGGGAAAAGAATAAAATCATTTCAGTTCGAAACTCTTCTGCATTGAAAATGTTATACACGCGATGTAATTGCATACATAAACAGTGGAAAATGTTGACGTCGTTGTGTTTACGATTTGGCGTTCTTCCAGAAAACGTCGCGATAAAATACGATGAATAAACATTTCTTTTAAGATCGTGCTGTACTTTTTGTCTCCTCTTTACTCCATTTCATTACAGACCTTGAAAACGAGCTTGAAAAAAAATGAAGGCAGTGAAAGAGGTAACAGTCTTATAATGTTTGATCAAACGAGAATATTTACCAATGATCATGTGGTTATATTCGATACCAGCAGAGAAAGTTACCATCGATTGTTATACATGTTTTTTATCATTTCACTCCAAGCAAAGCAATAAAGCCACTAAGACGCAAGGGATTACTGAGTGTTAGAGAATATGAAAAGAAAAAAATACTACCAAGGAGAGTGAACAATAAAAGACCAAGAATTAAGAAGACAGAAGATAAGGATTAACACTGCAAGTACATTTTAGAAGATCAAAGCTGGCATATTTTCAGTGTCAGAGCGTTTATAGATATGTGGGCATAGGGATCGAAACTGCACACTGAATGTCAGTTTTACGCTTCAATGTGATATTTAGACCAAGTGTCACTACTCATTTAGTAAGCTATGTATAGACGTTGCTGAGAGATTAAAGGAAAAGAGAGAATGAACAAATCTACTTCTCCTTACCCAGCTTATTATAGGAATGATGCTTAGGTTTATTTACGGTCATGACCTCAAGATTATTTATGTTGGTTGGGGAGTTATAAGTATGTAAAGAGGTCGAAACATGTCTTATTTTTTATTTTGTTTCGCCCCAAGCACGGCGATAATGCCACTAAGACGCACGGGTTTAAATGAGAAAACGCTAGTGAGTAGAAATAACAATAAAAGAACGGGTATCAGAAAGACAGAAGATGGCGATTGACATTGCATTTAAATTTTTGAGGATCTTAGGTGGCAGGAAAGCAAGAAAACCGAAAAAGAGAACTAGTAGTCAATCAAGCTTAAAATCGTGCGGTCGTGGTACCAGATATGAAAGCTCATTAGATGAAGATATTTAAAGAAAAGACATGGGGAGGCCACCACACGGCGGTAGGAAAGTGATTGAAGTCAAGATGCCAGGTCAGGATCGACAACGTTCTAGACCCTTTTTTAGATACATGCGAGCAATACTCAATGCACGGACGAATGATAGATTTATAAACGTGCAAGAAGAATTGCCTGACACGGGGAACCAACTTTCCTAGCAGCACACCTAGCAATTGATTCAATATAATCACTCGACTTCATGCCAGTGGAAAACGTGAAACCAAGAAGGTGCAACGAGTTGCTCTTCTGGAGTTTAGCATCAGCTTATGTAAGTGGAAGGCAAACGTTTATGATGACTAAAAGATAGCAATTTCATTATGAAGGCATTAACATTTACAAGACCATTTATTGCCCCAGTTAGCAACTGATTGGCGTTCATTTTCGAGACTAGCTACCCGTTTTACCATATCGGACAAGACCATACCAAGACAAGTAACTACGCATCCATACCAAGACAAGTAAATATGCATCGTAGCATAAATGCCTAGTTGGCATCGGGAAGGGCGTTGATAAAACTAAGAAACAACGTAGGTTCAAGGATAGAGGTCTGCAGAATGCCTGTGTTAATGAGAAAGGATCAAGAAGACCGTTTAACACGTTTTCATCACACGATTTGTTAATGGTTGGATCAGCTCGAATATTCGGCCATCGACACCACAGTTTTTAACTTGCGAAGAAGGCCAGCATACCAAACGCTGTCAAATGCCTTCGAAATATCTAAAGCCACAACCAAAGCCATGCTGTTCTTAAAGCTTCATAGACAAATTCAGTCATAGCCGTTAACACATCGACGGGCGATTTAGAGAAGGCAAAGACATATTGCTTATTTGAAAGCGAAATATAAATCAATTCTTTAGAAATATATTGTGTAAAAACATATTCTTATCTATCCGATTCAACTGTTCATTTTGTTTCAGATATTATTATGCCGGGTACATCTGAGAAGTGGAAAAAAATAAGCGATATCTGACCTTACTGTTGTACATTGAGTTAAGTGTTTTTAAGAGTAATGACTGCTCGACAAAGGTTGCCTATATCTGTTCGAGAAATTCAAACATAAAATTCAGATAATTGATCCCGCCTTATATATATGGTTCAACCCACTGTACAACAAAAACGTAAAAACAAACGTAGGAAAAATATTCATCAAACACTTACACAAACACTTCCCCGAATCAAGCACTGTCCACAAAATTATTCAAGAAAAACACAGTAAAAATCAGCTACAGTTGCACCGAGAACATTATACACATAATAAAAAAGCTTAACAGGAAAACTATCAACAAACCACCCGAACAAATTAACCCACGTGTAACTGCAGAATAAAGAACCAATATCCCTTAAATGGCAATTGTTTACAAAACAATGTAATATACCAAGCCACGGTAAAATCATCAAATAACAAAGAAAAATATACATAAGAGTAACTGAAGGACCCTGAAAACAAAGAAACTACGGGCACAAAACATCTTTCACAAATAGTAAATACGTGAACAGCACAATGCTTTCCAAGTATATCTGGGGAAATTAAAAACAAGAAAGCAGATCACACCAAGAATATCACGGAAAATAAGGAAAAGATCAGCCGACAACACTCAATCTCAATCAAATTTGCGAACTCTGCTTGGAAGAAAAAATAGTTATAATTCCCTTTCCTGACCCAAACAAACTACTAAATAAACGACCAGAACTCGTCTCAAAATACAGACACGAAAACAAATTTTTATTACGTTACTTAAAAATCCAAAACTGAAAAGAATAAATAAAATAAGCAAAAACAAGTAAAATAAATTAATCCAAATAAATAAAGTAAATAATAAACAAATCACTCCCGCCAAAATAACTGGTAGAATAGACTACCCACAATGCCCCACTGACCCGTATATATAAATAGTCGTAAAAAAAAAAAAAAAAAAAAAATATATATATATATATATAACGTGTGGCCTGATTGCTTTTAGCATGAAACAGTTTGTCGCCTCTTCAATGTTCACTTATCTCTCTCTCTCTCTATATATATATATATATATATATATATATATATAGTTTTAAAAACTAGGAAACCATTGATTTTAATATTAAAAGTCTCTAGAGCCCTTTCAGCCAACATCTCATCAGGAGACAATCGTTGGATTAGCGAAATGAATAATAGCGATATTGAAGAGCAAAAAAGAGGGGGAAACACACTAAAATAACGAACAAGTATATATACTTGTAACGAGGGAAGGGTTATCGTGTAAATAAATAGCGAGGGACAGTTAAAATAAAATATCCCCCAACAGATTCAGAGACCTTATAAATTCTTTCTGCCGGCAGAGAGAAGGTTTTCTAAATCCTATACAGACCGATTCCAAAATCTTCAAATGATTATTGGAATCGGCTGTATGAATAATTCTAAACCACTCTTTTTTATACAACTTGGCACAAGCTATATTCTCAACTAAATGTTGAGCAATAGCCGATTCCATATTCATGGGGGGAAGATAGCATATTCTATCTATCTTACCAAGTCGTATTTTGAAGGTACGTGCTGATTAATTCTAGTTTCCAAATGCAAGGTTGTACGCCCCACATAACCAGCAGCACACTGGCAATTAAATTCATATACTAAATTACTCAATTTGATGTAGGGCAATACATCCTTGCGAAAAGACGGAAACGCAGACCTAGTTTGAAAAATGCTACGTAAAGCAACTGATGGGAAACAACCGGAAACCGACTTGCTAACCTGCTTAATTAAGCCCTGACCACTATCCCCAATCCAGGGACTCTTCAAATAAACCGGACATTTAGAAGGCCCCTGGATTTTAGGGGAATGAAATTCCTTAGTTTTCTTACTAATAATATAGTCAATAAGGGCCTCCGGATAGCCGTTACTAAGGCTATTTTATTTTAAAAACATAAAAACATATATATATATATATATATATATATAAAAACATATATATAATAAAAACAAGCAAAAACTTAAAATTCTGGAAGCCATTTATATCGGAGTTGCAGCCAAAAATAAATAGTCAACTATGAGTATAGCAGCAAAGTGTTATTTAAAAAATACTACATTGAAATACTACAATTAAAAAATCTTTTTTTTTTTTTAAATTCTTTTTAAATTTTAAAAAAATCTCATAAGTTGAATAGAGGTAAAACAATTCTGAATTTTCCCGTGTTAACGCATAACACATCCATAGATATGCAATCCTTGAAGATGGTCTCTGATGAGATTGAATGTACTTGGGGAAAATAAAAATTATTTGAAAGAAAATTTTGGAATTTTTATTGATCAATTTTCTACAGCCACCAAGAAAGTAATCCATGGACTTGAAAGGATTAAAACTAAAATAAATCGACATAACATTAACCATAAATATAAATTAACCTAACATGCTTGAATATATATATATATATATATATATATATAGTTGGATAGAGGTAACACTGAGTTTCACGCTTTTACGAGCGTCAGACAAACTGATTAATTTTTACAAATTTTGGATTTGTCTAGGGTTGCGTGTATTGGTGTTTTTATGGAAGTGGGAGGAAAAATTGTCGTGACGGCACTCATACTTATACAAACATACATACACGCCCGTACATCCATTGAGGTACGCAGACACAACCGCTCGCCCGCCGGAGCTCACACAAACATAAACATACGTGAACAGTATAGGACTTGACATATATATGTATATGTGTGCTGTTGTGTACATACGTACTCATTTGATTGCTGAATTTAATGATGGAATGTAGCGATGTCA